ATATATCTTTTTACACTTTGCTTTTTTAATTTTATCCTAAAATTACGTATATCAAGTAAATTAATTATGCACAAATTCTGACTGTAATGTATTAATTTATAATAATTAAATTATAAAAGTTATAATTATCCGAAATTTAAATCCAATATTTAAATCAATGAGTTTACTAAACTTAATAAATTTAGATTATTTTGTAAGAGTTATTTAGTCTCATGTTATGTAAATAATAAATAGCTTTTATTTTTCCATATCGACAATTGAACATAAATCGATTATATTACATAACATTAATTTATTATATATTATATTATAATAATATATGTAATAGTAAAATAATGTTTTTTAAATTCTTGCTGTTATCTAAAGCTATACATGTCACAAGATTAACAAAATTTAATTGCTTGAGTAAAAGAATGGATATAATTAAAAGATTATGCTATTTGAATGGCACTTATCGAAATAATGAGCTAAAACAATTTTTAATAGATTTAACATTTTTTATAACATTTTATAAAAATATATAAGTTTGCTTCAATAAGATTTACGCAGCATTTCAAAGAAATCTATAAGAATATATAAAATGTGTTTGTTTTCAATGTTAGAGGATGAAAGTTATTCCTTTCATAAAGTTTTATTTATTAATATTTATTTAAACAGTAGGATGTAATACACTATAGTTAATGAATTAGAAGTGGAACACTTTTATATTACGCTAATTCTAAATGCAACGCTTTCGAGACTTTGATTGACGTTTAATAAACAGGTTGGCGCTTGATTTGACGTAGAAAAAGATTTGCACTCACGAACACTTCTAAAATTGCGAAACTCACCGGAAACGGCGAGTAACGTGATCAGCACAAAACGAAGTCCCAGCCACATGTTGATTTCTTGTGCGTGGATTTATAGTATTTTGTATCGGCTCCACGCGCGACAGCTCGCACTTTCAAACTGACGGCTGCCTACGAAAGCATGCCTTATATGACGAGTACCTGCTTCATCGCGCTTAATCGGATGCGGATCTCTTCCAGACTATTTTCACTCGTCTCTAATGAGTATAACAACCGCAATATAATAATTTCGGACACCATATGAATTAGATCATTTTTCAATGAATTCGAAATCAATTCGATAAAAATATAGAGTCATCATTTATCGCCGGGTTTTTAGTATTTACTTTAAGCAAAATAACAAGTTATAATAGGGTCAAAATGACATTAAAATAAATCGTGATTGATTGAAAACTTTTAATAATTATTTTGGAGTTATTTTAACTTCATATATATATATCAGAAACGAAAATGTCAAAACAGGAATCATTTTTTAATAAAAAATCATTTTTTAAGGAATCCTTATTTTTCACAATCACTTATTATTAAAAAACGATTCCTATTTTGACATTTTCATTTTTGATCGAGAAAACGTTGTCGTATATATATTTGTAGAATAATAAATTTAACGTCAATTAATTGACTTTATTTGAAATTATAATGCTAGAATGTGGAAATTTAAATAACGTAAATTTAAATAAGAAATTTAAATAATATGGAAATTTAAGATACACCGTATGAATTGAATCATCTAAAATTTTCATTTGTTTATTAATGATTAAATAAATAAATTACTTTAAAGTCAAAATATCTACTGCAAAAAAATAGAATAGAAAACTAATTATTAAGTTTCATATTGTATAGACTATAAACAATCCTGGCATTAAAAATAAGTTGACGTCAAAATGATGACAAAATACGCTTGTTACAAAATACAAGGGAGTGTACACAAAAATTTTATAAAATGTTATGTTAATATATTTTAATATATGTAAGATTTTTTATTAAATAGAAATTTAATAGGATCAAATTATTATTTATAAGGCAATAAAAATTTTTATTTGCCTATTATACTTGTAATTTATAATATGTAATATTTAAGATAATTAATAAAATGTTCGTAAAAATTTATTTTTTAACGTTCATGTTTATAATGCACAAAGTAAAAAGAAAATTAATTTTCCGAGAATGAATAATTGGAATGCAGTGTTGGACATAGTTAATTGTTGTATTTATAAATTATTGAGCAACCATTTGGACTCAGCTTTCAAATATTTGGAAAAATTTCAAAAAAAATATCAACCGTTAACTAACTGAATCTCGAAATTAAGTTTAACGGATTCTTCAATGTAAAAGTAATATTTAATTACCTATAAAATTTACCCGGAGAATTAGATTAAGAACCGGTACAACGGTATATTAGTCGTATCAATTAACTTCCTTTTTTTTCTTTTTTTGTATACCTAATATAAATGTAATTTTTGAACAAGTAGAGATGCATGTAGGTAAGTATATAAGTGTAAGTCGAGTAAAATATGATTTTTCTTTTGGAGATTTCAGTTTAATTTATTATTATTATATTTTATTATTATTATATTTTATTTATTAGTATTATATTGATAAAATTTTATTAAAACTTTTTTTTCATGTGTCAAAAATTCGAAAAATATCCTTTTATTCTTTAAATGAATTTTTATTTGAAATGATTTTTATTTATATTTACAAGAAATGTGCATAAAAAATATTTTCCAAAAAATATTAATCTATTTTCAAACAAATATAATGTTATTATAAAAAAATATTATCAATTGTTTAATTTAAAATACATAATGAAAAATTAAACATTAATTGAAAGCTTTCCGAAGAATATCGAGATTTATGACACGTAAACAGTATGAATATTCCATAATTGATTGCGAGCTGATCATGGAGATAGTGATCGTAATTTCCATCTGGTGTTTATAAAAGAGAAATGTTTTACATGATTTTCTCATCGCGTGTACAAATTTTAGACAAAGATCGAATTAAATCATGCGGCATTGAGACATCTCCGAAAAGCGATGATGTACTCGCACCAATGAATTATCTCTCCGCAAGATAAATCGCGCATTTATCACTCTTGCGTTTACATAGTTGGAAGCGAATATCTGGCCGACTACTTTAATTATTACCGGATAGGCTATTTGCCAAATAACCGCATAATTGCAAAGAGTCTATAGTGACATTTAACTTGGCAATAATTTGCCGTGTAAGTTATAATCTAAAAGTATATCTTAGAAGCAGTATATATACATATCTAACGGATTATCTCAATCACATCTATGCATCACAATTATAAAGGATGAAAATTTGTCTTCGTAAATTTCAGTGATTAGTGACAATCATACAAGCATGCACTTTCCGATGAGCATAAAATAAATCTTTTATTAGCGAAAATTTTAGATACATATTTAATCTTTAATAAAAAAGTGCAGAAATTTCTGAATCTTTAGGAGAACGTAAACAAATAACAATTTATTATATTGTTTTATATTAATTTATAAAAACAATATCTCTTCGATAAAAATTTCATAGTGTCAATTAAGGCTTTTGGAATATTATGCAAGTATACATATAATCTTTACGATTTGTGCAAATCGAGTTTTAATTATGTAAATAGATAATAAAACTTTACATTTTTATTATCTAATAACATCGACGAATGCAAATAAAGTGTATGCTAGTTATGAAAATATAATTTCGAATGATAAAAGTGAAGACAACATTAAGTTTTCGTAAAATCTATTTAAATTTGAATAAAAAAATGACTTAAAATTATTTATACGATTTGCAATTGTCTTCTTACCATATGTAGTTCAAAATTATGAAAAAAATCCACTATATACTTTTCTCCTTTTATGCGTGATCGTTATTACTATATTATCTATGCAGGTAATGAAGTGAGACAAGAATGAAAACTAAGACAACACATTTGTGCATTCTATATAAAATTGTTGTCTTGCCAGAATTACTTCACTTTCCTAGCTTACGACTATACCATCAATCATTCTTGAAGATCTTAGCAAATTAAATCATGATTGAAGCATATGTACATACATAATCTAAAGAATGCTTTTGTTTGAGAGATTATCTGAGGAATTTCTAAAAAAAGCAAATTAGAATTTCTTTTGTAATAAATCTAAATTGTACAAGTATTATTGTAATGTATCATGTATTTGAAGAAATATGTTGAAATAAAGAATCCATTAAAACTAAATAATAGAATCCGAATAGAAACGCATTAATACCTGAATTTGTAATTTAAAATTCAATTTACCCGGTCTATATTATACTTATTATACTTGTTAGATAGCAGACTTTTAATACTATCTCTAAAAAAAATTTTTAGAGTGCATCTTACTCTACTGAAGAGTGAAATCTTTTTTTTAAGACTGACTCAATTTTCACTCTTTTCAGTCAGATTCCATTCCAAAGAATTTAGAAAGTAATAAAAACATAATCATTACATATATTGGATCATAATGTAAAATATATAATATTTGTTTCTGAACTGAAGATGCTGTTAAAACAATCATTAAGAGTGTGATCGAGTTGCCGCTACGAATACTTCGAAGTATTTTTGATTGGTCAATAATAAATTGGTCATTAATAAAATTCTTTCTTCCAATTGGTTAATCAAATGCTTCGGAGCATTCGTAGTGGCAACTTGACCACACTTTGAAATGCACAAATGCTTCCAATTCTGACATGTGAGCTTATTTACGCGCTATCGACAACAAAGAGTGTGGTCACGCGTATCTTGTGACGATTCACCGTGTCTACCGAGGACAGACCATGTACGAAAATACATTTACCTAGAGCAAGAAGATAAATCGAGGTGGCAGCGAAAGATAGTCGTTGCTTCGTTGACCTCCGTTCAAATTAGAATAATGTCGCGAAGTGAACAGTGGCTGGCAGAATGTAGTGAGAAATTTTCCCAAAAACATGTCAAAATATAAAGTTACCAATCTCTATTGTTACATTAATCGATAAATTTCTATTTAAAATGTATCATTATTTAAATAATTCGTTGTTGAAATAATAATCTTTTGTTCAATTTTTTGTTCATTACAAACAGCGAATACATAGTATTTTTCTTCTCTTTATCTTTAAATTTCACTTTTGTTCACGTATTTATTTCTTATCTTTTTCGCAAATGTCTTATTGTACAGTATTTTGTCTCTTGGATCTCGAGGTTGTCTCATCTCGGAAATAATTGCCAAGCATCGAGTAGAACGTATGTCTCTTCATAGCATGTCACACATCCGACATAGCACAACGAAAGTTCTCGGTCGAGTCTGATTTCAGCGGGGCTTCAGTTAAATTCGGATCCCTTTTGATCTGTAGCTTATTTAGAATTTAGGTTTGCGACGGTCAACAAGAACTAGAATGGGGGAAATAGAACGGCTTCAAATATTTCGCGACTTATATGATGCAAATGAGAGAAGCATAGGTAATAGTTATAATTTTTCCTCTTATATGATTGGAGAATATTGTTAAAAGACTCAACAATAAATAAATAATTTTCAAAAGAGTTGAGAGAGAGTAAAGAATAAACTGTTATTGATTCTTCTAATTAAATTGTATTAAAACTATATTTCTGCATGTTTATCGCGCGATTACATCGAGAATTATTTATGAAAAAAAATTGTATCCATAAAATTATATATTTTATTATATAAGTGACGTTAAGAAGTAAAGAAGTAAAGAAACAAAGTGCGCAAGAAAGCGCAAGTGTGAACACTATATATTAACAATGCGAACGGAAACTGGTCATTAATCGATCTTTTAAATCAAAGAATTTATTATTATAGTTATTAGTTTCAGCGACTCTTTCTTTTCACATTTAAAATAAAAGAGATAGATATATACAATTTAATAAGAATAATAGCAGTGAGTAATAATTGCATTTGTTAATAAATTGGGCAGATCTTATTTGTGACTATTAAAAGTGCATAAGATATTATATTATAAACAAATTAGTGCGTAGTACTCAAATAATGTTTAAATAGACGAGAGCGCTTTTATGAAGAAATGGGTAGTCTCAGCAGAGCAGCTGAGATGAATGAACTTGAGGTTCTATAGGAAACAAGTTTGATGGATATAAATATAACATATATGATATAAATTTCATCGCCGCGACGTTGTTATCATTGTTATTATCGTCTGCACCATCAATGCTATGACCACTGTTTGAGTTCCGGTCTCGTATAGCGTTTCACGGCCTTTGTACCCTCCGCTCAGAGGGGATAGCCTAAGTTTAGACCCGGCAAGACTCTGGCCGAGTTCAGTGTAAAACCACCATCCTCGAGAATCAATTTCTTCGCGTCGGACGTGCTTTCCGCGTGCAAGTTTCGTTGCGTACGTTTTGACCGGCGAGAAAGCTCGTCGTACGCGGTTCGGAAGAACAAAGAATTTTACATCTCGTGAAGGAAACTATAGAGAGAGATTATCGCGATGGCATACAGCTGGGATAATCGCGTTAATTTCGTAGTGAAATTTCTGTATGGTTAGTAGATGCGGTGGATATTGCAAGGGTGGTCGAGGTAGTTTCAAGCAGAGGAGGACAACAATTAGAAAGACAATGTGATTATATGAAGAGGCAGCGCATAAACGCTACGAAATTACGAAATATCGAAAATTGGAAGTAAATAGTGACTCCTTATGCAAAAACAAATAAAAGTGTAAAATAGATAAATTTCTTTCATATATAAAGCTTTGTTTTATAAGACAAAATTATAAAATTTGTAATAAAAAGTAAATGAATATTTTTTATTTTATTAATTAATGAAATATCTCCTCTGTGTAAATACATATTGCATCGTGCAGCAAATGCATCCCCTTGCATTGTCTTACATATCTCGTGTGTCCCTCTTGTGTGTGTGTGTGTGTGTGTGTGTGTGTGTGTATGTAAATTTCGTGGCATGGTAATTGATATAGTAATATAATATGTATATAAGAGGTATCTCGCAATAAGTGTTAAATAAACATAAGATAATAACCACGCTAAAAAAGAAAATGTAAAATATGATTTTTTTGTTATTTTTTTAATATGAAATGTAACGATATAATTGAAAGAAAAATATCTTTCTTTTTCAAAATATTTTAAGTAGTAGAAATATATGTGATTTTTTAATACAAATTTGATTGTCTTATATATTTAGTTATTTATTATTAATATACATATATTTCTTTATACAGAATGACAAAAAGAATTATTATTATATAAAAGAAGATTATGTGACTTTTATATATAAAAAAGTGCAATAATACATTTTATATAAAAAGATACTCATCAATTGATTATTTTAATTATTTTATGTATAAAAGTTATCAAAAACATTTTACTGAATATTCTATGCAAAATGTTTTATATTTTATATAATTTATATATATAATATATATTAATGTATATTATATTAGGTGTTGGAATTAATTCGTAGCGTTTTTAATGAAAGAATGTTATTTATTTCACATGAGCATTAAAAAATACATTAATGAAAGTACTTCCCATCACTTGTAAAACGCTACGAATTAATTCCAACACCTAATATATAATGTATAATATATGTATACAAAAAGTATACAAAATTTTTTTGTATGTACAAAAAATACATATTTTTCGATAACTTATCCAAATAATTTTGTATACAAAGTAATTAAAAAAATTGATTTAACAAAAAAATTATATCATATTAAGTTAATTAAAAATTCTAAAATTTAAAATAATCTTTAAAAGAATGACATCTTTAAAAGAATGATCGTCAAAACAATGACAAACAGTAACATAATGTTGTAATTTTATACTTAATAATGTAATTGTTAAGTATAACATTTTATATTATATTTATATTGTTGAGTGTATAACATTGATATTGTGTTAGTTGGTGTTCTTACTGAGATAGGAACATATAAGCAATTTAAACAAGAAAAAATTGACTATAAATTAATCAGATCATATTCAACAGTACAAATATAATAAGATAAAAATGGAACACTTCTGTTTGTAAAAAAAATCTAACAGTTTAAAATAAGTGCCCTTAGAAGAACATCTTGTATAACTACAGATATTGATAACAACGGATATTTGGACAAGCATGATTTCGAGTGCATGGCATTAAGAATGACGATCATCGAAGGCAAAGGCGAGTTTAATTACAGTCGATACCAAGAAAATCTTCATATCATGCTCTCTTTATGGGATGAAATAGCTGATCTGGCAGATTTTGATAAGGTATATCACTATTGTGAAAAATATTATCTAAAATTCAAATCTGGAACTCATTATATTACACGATAAGCGTTTAATTAAAATTATTTTCCAAATTTTGATTCATATAATTGTTGGTATATGTATAATAGAGAATAAAATATATTTAATGAAGAATAAAAAAATTTAATTTTTTATAATATATTAAAATAAAGATTATCACTTATATTATTCCTTTTCTAGAACGACGTTGTAACGACAGAAGAATTTAAAAAGGCTATGCAAAGTAGCTGTGTTGGTCGTTCTTATAACGATTTTCCTCAAGCTATGAAGATGTTCATTGATAGTCACTTCAAAATACTTGACATAAATGGTACTGTACAATATTTACAAACATAGGGAAAACATTGGCCGATATTCATAGTCCATTCTCAAGACAGTTTTAAAATATGCTAAAAAATCTTAAAATATGCGAATAATAGTTCTGTAATTGGTCTTTAAATATAAAACATGGATCATATATGTATACCGACCATTGTGTAGAATAGTATTGTAATTAATAAATCATAATTTCTTTCTATAAAATTAGATCAATAAAAGAAATTGTTAATCGAAATTATTATATGAAATAATTTATAATGTCTGTTCCAGAGGACGGCGTAATTGGAGCTGAAGAATTTCGATATGATTGTGCTTCAAGGATTGCTGTGGATAATGTAGACATCCTTGATAAAGCTTATCAAAGTCTTTTAAACGTAAATGAAGTAACTTGACTATTTAATAGAGAATGAAAATTCCATCAAACTCCTTTTTTTACATTCTCTTAAATTTTTATAAATAAATCAATTTCTGTTACATTAAAAAACTAATACTATAAAGTGATAATTTATATTCACTGGGAGGCAATTTTTTAAATGTATTAAATCAAGTACATTCCAATAAAAGATATGTGATTTTTTATTTTATTAGAAATAAAAAATACGCAATAATAACAAATTACGCTACTATAATTGTTATTTCATTAAAATACTTATTTTATCTCCATTCCGTGCAATTGTTCAAAATTCAATAAAATTCTGAAAGATTCAATATAATCGTATCCTTTTTCATGAGATGTGCACATATTAATTAAAAATTAAAAGAACGATTGTTTTAAAGTAGTACTTCATTATGTTAACAGGATGATGACAGAAGACGCGGTGGATTGAACTTATCACGTTATCAAGAATTATATGCGCAATTTCTCGGTAATCCTGACGACAATTGTCCAGCAATCTATCTCTTTGGGCCAATAGGACAAGAGTCATAACTGAAATACTCGTCGAAGCGATGTCAATCTTTATTATAAAAAATTACCTTTTTAAAAAAAAAAGATTCGAGCTTCAAGTGGCACAGAAAAAAGGCTTCAAATGTACACGCTTCTCGAAAAATAATTGTTATGCACAATTTAAAAAACCCAAGTGAGATGTATCTCCTATTCAAGGGTCTTCTTATTTCAATTCAAGCGGCAGTATTTTTAAATTTCATAAAAAAAATTATATCATAAAATTGTGCCAATTAAAATAAATTTTATTTACATTGTATGACCTAATTTAATTTAATCCAAATAATGTATGTATATTTTCGAATTTCCACTCAAAGATAATTTTATTTCAATCAAAGTCGTAGTATCTTTTGTTTTAATAATTTTATCTAAACGTCAAAAATATATGTATAACGTAAAAAAACTTGGTTAAAGTATAGAATAGTTACTTTTAATATAACGATTTGTGCGTATGTATATAATGTATATAAACATATTTTACTCTGTCAACGCCAAGTTTTTTATGTTAAATATTTTTGATATTTGAGTTGCAACAAAAAGACACTACTGTCTGAATTAAAATAAAATTATTTTTAAGTGGAAATTTGAAAATAGATCTTATATCTTTTTTAAGTTATTAAAAAATTTTGTATATATAATATAAACAATTTGTATATAACAACGCTTTACTTAACACTGATTCCCATTCGTCTAATTTATTATTGGTTTATTTTTTAATTAATTTTTATTTTTTACATTTACTCCTAGCGTCCATAAATTTTTAACCGATACTGTATATGCGAGTGTAAGAACAATACGAAAATATTAATTGCCACACACAGACAGTACAGATTCCCTGAAATTAAACAAAATAATATAATGCACTTAATTATATTGTACAAACAGGAGAAAATTTATTTATATTTATGTGACAACACAGTACGCTTTGTATGCTATTTGAGATGCTTCTCTTACAATTAGTTTTCTTTCCTTCTTTTTTCGTCATTACAATTTAATTTGACGTTTATATTTTTTCATTTTTTTCACAATACTTGTTATATCAAAGCTATGATATGCATTTTGTTCATATACATGGTGCAGTATAAATTGAAGATCATTTATTTAGTAACTTCTCAAATGGACCAGTACGGTATATATTAAATTTAACGAAAGGTATCACTTCATACGTATATCAAACACACGCATATGTCTGCCAATATAGTAAATTTGTACATTTTACGACATATATTTATGTATATGATTTGTAACATTTAATGATTTAACGCAGCCTCTCTTTTTTCATATCTTATACATTTATCTGCACGCAAGTACATATATCGCAATAACAACGTGAGAAATATTAACAACTTTGTATCTAGCGAGTTCCTTTCTTTCATAATGGTACAGACTGCTTGACAAGTAGTATAAAAGTTACACTTGATATAAAACGTTCAAATCCGTAAAAGATTCTTTCAATCGAGAAGCACATTAAAGAATTATATTATTAGTAATTTATCTGCTAATTCTTGTTATGTATATTATACACAAACAAGAGACACTATTGCAAAATTGTTACATATATCGAGCGAAAGCGTCGTATTTTAGATATAGAGAACTTACAGCCACAAGCGCACTAGTAAATAAAGTTGGCAAATCTACCCCGCACTGGGAATCTAGCAATTGAATGTAATATTCCTATTCTCTTCCACATTCAACGAAAACCTTACTATTCTAAATATTTGGCTAAATCATAATAAATTTACGATTAATCAATCAGTGATCAAATTTCTTTGGAATAATAGAATATATTTGTTTCAACTTAATGTGAGATTGTGAAGTTTATCAAAGAAAAATATACTTGAATATATATTTTACGATTCTCTCAAGTAGTTTTAATTACAAATATAATACAATAAGCAAATTTTAAACCAATTGATTACTAGGATTAATAACAACATACATATTTTGTTCCTTTGAAGTTTTTGCTTACTAAGGATCACACAAAATCACAATTCTTTTACAGTTTCTATATGTACGAGGATGATTCAAGTATGAAAGAGACTTTTTGTGTGTAAATACAAATCAATGATAGACGTATTTACATTGAATAATATATTTTTTTAAATTGCCTAAAAATACAACACATTTTTATTTGAATTTTTAGATCAAGATGGCGCTGAAAGGTAATTTCAGATATTCTGTTAATTATTAGAGAAGTTTCTCTGAAAATTAAGAATAGCGCGTCTGTTCGAAATATTTAGAATTGGTATCTAAAAAATAAAAATGACATATTTGAAAGCAACAACTACAAAATTTTAGGTAGACTATGGTTTTATGATCCGATGCGTGAATGTTCTCTTTTTCTGCTTTCGTTCGGTCTCTTCTCAATATTATTCTTTTATTACAAACTAATTGTAAGCAATTTAATAAAATTTTATGAAGAAAATTGAAATTTTAATTATATTTTGAGCGAAACAATAAATATATAAACAGTGTTACGTGACATTCTGAGCTATACTTAGTATTCTATGTAATTTAGTATATTTCCTATGTAACTTATTCTTGTTCGTATAAGGTAAAAAAAATGGTTCATGCGTTTAATCATTTTATGGTAGTATTTTAATCCCATCGACGATTATTTCTTTATTTAATTTGAAGCAATAACATTTCTGCCGAGATAATTTATCACTTCTTTAATTTCTACAATAAGTCTAATTTATTTAAGTCATTCAAATAGGTATGTACATTTATAGATTTTTACTTCCCAAATCTTATTGCTTTATTCTTTTATGAAAAAAACATACATTTTTCGTTATAGCAAAATAGGATACAATTTTTCATGCGTAGTTCCATGTGCACAGACTACTAATCTGTTTTTTCTTCCCAATATCTATTAATTCTAATCACAAGAATTCTTACCAAGTTTTCTGCATTATAGCATTAGAGGAGGCTTTATAAAAAGCAACAAAAAAAAAGTTATTTCTTGAATAGTTATATACAAATTATATAAAGTTTAACCAACCAAATCAAAAACATAAAATGATATTTAAAAGAATATTTTAAAGATTTAATACGTGTCTTTAGTATGTGTCTTTAATATGTTTCTCACAAGAAGCTCCTCTCTGATCTTCATCAATTCTGATCAAATTTGCAACGATACTAAAGAAGACTACAAAATCAATACTTATAAAGCCGGTCTTTCGAATGGGCCTTAGAAGTTCAATAATTAAATATAAATAAATATATATATTACTAGAAACGAGTATCAACAATTTACCATCGTTAAAGCATTAAACTACGGTGCAGACCGTAGAATGTCGATTCGGCAAATAATAAATATTTATAATATATAATAAACAATAAAGAGGAGCCTCTTCTTGTCAAATAATTTATATTGTCTAAAAATTTAATCATAGTATGAAATACACAAAAAATCAAATATGCGAACTGTGAGGATTTTTTTTCAAAAAATAGTCTCAAAAGCTATGTAATAAAAATAATGTGAAAAAAATTTAAATATAGACATAATGTACTCCATTGATCCATAGTAAGCTAGTGACAAAGGAACAAAAACTATTACTCTCATTATTAACTGGCCTTAATTTAATCTTAATGTTATAAATTTGGGACTTGACAAAGCAAGACAATATTTACTTAAGAAGTAGACAAAATGTACTCAAATCTAATCGACAATACTGATAATTATACATTTCACAACGAAAATTCAATCCTTAAGTAACATGGTGAAGGTTCATAATATTCATACCATTCATGCCGAGAATATACATACACTCTCATACGCGTAATCATACCAATAATCAGTATGTAGTAAATTCTGTGATTTCTTACAATCAAACATTCATTAACGGAATTCTTACATCCTAGAGCTAAAGATAATCATATAAAAAGTCTAGTTAGAATAATTTCAGATGTATTGATGTAAAATGAATGATTCGATAAGATTCAAATTAAATGGATTTTGATGAATGACTTCACCATGAAACTTGTGAATTGTTGTAAGACTTGAAAACTTGATTTCTGATATAGATATTATTTGAATATCATTATTTTTGAGAATATCAATATTGATTTATATGTTTATTTAATTTTACTTAACTTTATATTGTATTTTAAATGTGGACGGCATAAGAATAATTTACTTAATTATAAATATTTAGTTGACTGATTTAATTCTTCGTTTACACACATCTTTCACGACTTTTCGTAGCACACAGATGCGAATTCGCATCTGTAATTTATCTTTTTTTTTTTCAACTTAAAGGAAAAACTTGTGCGAAATAACTTCATTTCAGTGATGTAATGTCAGAGGTAATATTAAAATTGTATTAGTTTCTTAGAGTGATAATTCAATAAAGATAAACTTTACTACGTTCGAACTTTACAAAAACTCGCAAATGACTCTCCATCAGGGTTGGTAAAAAAATGTCAAAATCATGTTTTAAACATAATTACTGCTTAATTAATGTTTTTAACATATTTTGAACATGTTTTTATAATATAAAAGCATTAAAAATGGTTTAAAAAAAACAAATAATGTATTATTTAAAAAAAAAACATTCTTTGTCAACCCTGCCTTCCATTAATCTCGTTTCTCGGAATCCGTTGCGCGGAGTCCCCACTCTTAGCAAAAATCCTGTTATCGACATTTCTCGAAACAATATTATTTATGAGTTATTTCTGTCGATCGTTTAAATCGCCTAACGACTTCAATAAAGATCCTCCCCCTCTCCCCCACGCTATTCGATTCGTTCGTCCTATTTCTTATGTATCAAAACAATTGTATTCTGGGAACATCTTCTGTATGGATTGTGACAATGTAATCAATATAATGTGAGTTTTATTTTGATTGACGTTTGTATAGAATGGATTGTTTTCAATTTTCTCATATTATTCACAGATTCATTGAAATTTTAACATTCAGTCAATCAGCTGTTTGGGAACAATTTCTGTCTGTCAACATACAATCCATCGGAGATTGTTAACTTAACTTATCTTTACTTAGTATTATTTCACTCATTTACTGCGGATTACGACTATTATATTAAATCTGAAGATGGCTCGATCAAGAAGCCGAAATGTAATTATTGTTTGATTAGATCATCGAGATATTTGATTGTTCTGAGATATTTTATACGTTATACCATATCAAGATTTTTAGAGGAATAATATCGAGAATCTGTATTATTATGTGTATATGTTTTTATATTCAATTTTTTATTAATTTTTGATTATATGTCCTTTACTTAAATTTATTTTTATTTGATAACAAGAATCTTTATATAATTTTATGTAATTAATACGGTTATTTCGTGTTGTATCGAAATCATGTTCTCGAAGTGTCGTGCTATATCGAAACCATTCTTGTAGTGTATAAGGGAAATTTCCTTTATGTCAAGAAAAACGGTGTGATGAAAATAGTTGTGCAAATATAAGAGTTATCCAAGTTTATTAAGCTATGGAAATTGTATTATAAGAATATCGTGTTATAAGTCGCAATTTTTGCACCATATATCGAAACCGTGTTTTCAGAGTATTACGTTATAAAAGGGTTGAGTGTATTTAGTAATATAATAATAAAATTGACAAATGTTTCGGCGCCATCAAACAAACTCTTCGGGCCATCTTTAGTGTCCAATCATTCTTGTTTCAATTTAAACTATAGAATTCGTTTTAGAACTAATTATATAGCTATAAAAAATGCTGATGCGAATTCTTTTACTGTGTGCTAACGAAGAATTTATTATAATTCTAATTATACGAAATCCTGAAATTCAATACTATTTTTGATATTACCGCTAAAATAAATCATTATTTTAGAAATATCAACTTCTTAGATTTAGATTTATTTCTCAACTGTCAATACTTTTAGAGCTCACTTATTCACACGATACGGTTATTTGTTGAATCGGTCGTTCTGCCGGATCAATTTTGTTGTCATGCTCTACAGTGGCAATATATTTTTTATATAGGAGCGTTTACACGATACGATTATCGTATGCAAGAAAATTACCGAGTCGAACACTCGGTTTTGTCACTACAAACGATATACGGGATTCGGTAACAAATCGTTCAGATTTAGATTGATTTGCACTGATTCAGTGAAATTATCGGTATCGTTAAAAACTCGTATCATGTGAACGAATTCTTTATATTATATCTACATAAATGATAACTGAATATCGATATCAGAAAAAGGATTCATGTCACAATTGCGAAATGCATTAAAAATAGGAAAATGCATTTTATATATCCGTCACGTTTTTTATGCTATTATCGACAAATTTGCTTAATAAGTAGCAAAAAAAAACAAAAATTCTTCGTTCTAGATCAATTATATTCTACATAAAATCGATCGCGCGTGTAATTAAGCGTTCGCGATTGCGAAACATAATTTAATTTCGAATACAGTCTGTGAGAGAATCTAATATTAAATAAAAAAAAAATAAAAAAAAATCTTTCTTGAAATAAATATATTAAAAATGACGAAGACCTAGAATTATACAAATTTATTTACCGCTAAAATGTAATGCCAGATATGAACGTAGATGGACATGTTCACCAGTCTCGAAGAATTTGTAGAAATAATTCGTATTAAACTTTCTGTATTTCGGAGGAGAGATGAACTTGTGAATTTCTCTCGGTTCAAGATTCTATTGATAACTTATTTAGTAGATTAATTTCAGTCCTTCTAAGTACAAAAATTGCATGCGATTAAATCGGCAATGATCAATTCTTCGTTAGAACGTTACATGGTGATCAGTCACATCAATGGAATTCACACTGGCGTAGGAAGTGGACGCGCGTTGTTGGTTGTTTTGGAGTAGAGGAGAATCCGGCTTGTCACGTTTGTGACGCCTAGTTTCGCTTCCGCTCGCGAATTCGCGGGCTCTTCCACGCCTTCGGCGCGACATCACGCCTGGAAAAAAAAAACATTAAGCATGCTTTAAGTATTTTAAATCTTCATCCTTTCCAGTACAATCATCTCCCATCGCACTGTATGATTCCATTGAAATCGTATGGTCAAAATTGTGTTGCTGTGCGTTACATGAATACAAACTACTTTTTTTTGCGTAAGTGTAATTTTCTAATATTTCTATGTAACATTTCTATTTCTATTTCGTACAATACATACAAGAAGCAACTCATTAATTACAACAAATACAATATATTTCATGCAATAACAAGTATGTTCGTATTTGTGTAAAAAATATTAATTCTTCAAACATTTCTTCAAGTAATAAGTGTGACGATACCATTTATAAAATATAACATTTTAAAATTTCGAGAATTTTTCTTTATTTTTTTTAGATATTGGCATAAGCTATATATAAATCAAAATACATATTGAATTTGTCAATATATTGAAAATTAATTTCGGTACACAACCATATTAAAAATAATTATACATTTGCTATAAAAAATTAAGACTTCAACAAAAGTCCATTGCTTATTATATTGCATATTACCTTTTGTTAAAATAATATGAAATTTTTAACGTAGCAATATAGAGAAAAATATTTTGAAATTATGAAATTACGAAATAGTTAAATATTATAAATTTATATAAACATTTATTTAATTTACGTGTCTAAATCTTTTAATATCTTTTTACAATTTCATTATTCATGTTACACTATCCTAATTTCCACATTCATTATATTTTAATTATGATAAATAAAAAGATGCAATATATTGACAAATATAATATTCATATTTACCACTGTTCCAAAATAAAACAAAAATTTTATAAAATAAAATATTTAAAAAATGTTATGATCATTTTAAATAACAGATCAAACCTAAAACAGATATATTGAGAAAATTTTAATACGTAATTTAAAAATGCTTATGAAACATTACATAGATAAAAAGATAAAATTACAAATGAGGACATAAAAGTGATCCTATTCTATATATTTTTCTTTTTCACCAGTGATAATATTTTTGCTTTTCCATATCCCTGTTACAATCAATAATTTTATAGCAGCATACAATCTACTATTATTTTCTAGGAATCTGATTATAAAATTTTAAAAACACTATTCAATTATCGGTCGATGCAATCTTAGATATTTATGTATGTTGCGGTACATATACATAATTGCATATTATGCAATTATGTATATGTATCGCAACATACATAAAAATGTACATACTTATGGTCACATTATAGAAAATACATTACATATGCAGTATATTTTTTAAGTATTAAGATATGTTGACCAAACAACAATAGATACAAACGATAGACAAAAACACGCGCAATAGTTTTAACATGTATAATGTATGTATATAAAGTAAAGCAAAATCTATATATACTATTCATTTTTTAATATCTTCAAAAGCGTGAGACTAGAAGAAAAAATTGTCAAACAAAAGTTACTTGACATACAAGAGAGCACCAGACAGTGATAAAATTTGCATTGTAGATTAAATTAGTTCCGAAATAAAAAGTACATCCTTTTTATAAATTAAATCTTATAGTTTTATAATTATTCTGTAATATCTATTAAAATAAGTAGAATGCCTATGTCAAAAGATCATTCCAAATTAATGAAGATTATTTATGATAAAAATATATTAAAATATCCTACAATATTGTAAGCTCTTAATTGATGGATCATGTTCAATTGAGGAATATATTAAACACATATTTATTATATTAAACATTTAAGTAGCAATTCATTTATGTACAAGTAAGGAATCACAATCAAATAAGTGAAGCATATTTATTATTAGAATATGCTATATCATAAAAAGATTACCGTCACATAATAATATTACTCCTATGTATTACAAACATTTACTAGGTTTTCTCTTATTTTTGAAGACATTAAAAATAATAGTAGTTATATTGTCATACCACATATATAATAACATAAGTACCAATAAAAATAATATCATTTATCATTTAAATAGATACTATAGAATAAAATTAGAGCAGCATATGTCTAAAAAGCTTTGCCATCCCACACTTAGAAAAAAAAATAGTTAGAAACATTTCAAATACAAGTATTAAATATATGATTAACTAGAAAAATCATAACCACAATAAATTTAGAATAAGATTCTAAGTGAGTTTTACAAATTAATGTAAAAGCTAATAAAAATTAATATAAGATAATTATAATTTTTATCCACCTTTAAACTTGCATAACCCGTGTTCTATGTTTCTGATGTATACATATGATATAATTCCATTCTAATAAAATTAATCTATAAAAAACATTATAATTGTTATTTAATAAAATTTTATATGAATTATGATCTTATTTATGAAAAAATATTTCTTTTTTCAGATTAGTTTTATCATATAGGAAATTATATAATAAAATATAATAAAAACTAAAAAGTTTATCTAGCTAATCTTTCAGTGCAATTGGTTAAAGTGCGTAAGCTTTATAATAATTTAAATAAGATCACATAACGTTATTTACTGTCATGAGTATTATCAGCATTATTTTGTTATGCATGAAAATGCGTTAATGCAGCATTTTTAAATGAAATTTTGCCAAGAAATTTTTTAAACTTTAACCATTAAAATTAAAAGACTATGTTCTTATATAGAAATAAACTGTAAATAAACAATAAAAGGAAAATAAAATATACATAAATATAAAATTATTTCTTTCAAAATCTAAACTTGCAAGAGACAGAATTCTTATCATATAAGGAATACTGCATTGATGCATGCAAAAAGTGCAATTATCTATTTTATCGTACAAATTCGCACTATATTATATTATATAAATGTGTATATATGTTAAAATAAATTGAAAATTAAAGAAATGTGTTAATATGTATTAAAATAATAATACATATTTACGTATATAATAATTCGAAAAGTTTCCATGTATGAGTAGGAAATTAAAATAACGTGCTTGAGGGATTTTTGTGATTTTAAAATAAGTATAAAAAAAGAATATATAGTTTCGCAAATTAATACAATTGAAAAAGAAAAAAAATTAAAAAAAAATACAATATCACTTCATTCCTTCAATTCATTATTTTTAAATAAAAAATAAGAGATCTGTAACATTAGAAAAAAATTGCACTTCCTAAATGCATATTTACGTGCTAAAAATAATGTTTAAATCAACAATATTAAACATTTTAACTCAGTTAATCTGTGCAAAATAAACATAAAAAGTACGATGACAGATTTTGGACATAGAAGAAAAAAATACTAATAAATTTTACCACATGTCAAAACGTGGGCGTTCCGTTTTTATATTCAGATGCTCTGCATACCTATCTGTCACATTCAAGCACTTTGAACGTAGGTGTGGTTGTAGTGGGTGTAGGAGAATTGTGTTTGCTTACACGATGATTCAATGATGTCTCTTGCACGTTGTCCAGATTTCCACATATCGCTCTTTTATGGTTGGCCAATTTCTCTCTGTTCATGGGTGAGCCTAGAACCAGGGGCCATGACGCTAATCCGCATTACTCAAAAAATGTACATTTAAAAAACACGATTCTTCTTAGAATGAAGAAGACTACGCGCAGACGTTAGTAAAGAGATTTGGCAGAAAAATATCTCAATGCATTGTTATTTTCTATTGAATTTGAGCTGCTCACAATAAATATGAAAAAGGTTCCCACTTGCAATAGGGATATGAAATAAAATCTTAATTAATATAACACTGGTGAATCTCTATATAAATAAAAATAACTATTTAAGACTTATTCTAGTCTTCTATTTCCTTTTCTCAAAGCACTAAAATGCTTCTAGAGATTCTTAAGATTGCGTTGATCATACTTAAGACTATGCTATCAAGTACAGGGTTGGCCATATTCGACGGAAAGATCTGGCAAACACTGTAACTTTTGACAGAGATGTTAGATCGAGTAACGACGTTTCCCATGATTGAAAAAAAAACATCTTTCCGTTGAATATGGCCAACCCTGTATATCCCGCAATAAAACCTAAATGGACGTGAAATATATTTCATGCGCAAAGCGTTAATAGTGCATTTATGTGAATACATATTTTAATATAAAATAATTAAAAATTTAGAGAAACAAATATACACATACACAAAATATTCTTTTTAAAGAGAAAAATTATGATAATTTTTAGCCAAAATGTCAAAAACTATTTGTTAGATCCCAATAAATATAATACATATTTAAAAAAAAATTTGGATTTTGCATTTCAGATAAAATCTTTGAAAATTATATGCTGTCCAAAATGAAGAAATTTGAAACAGTAAATGTTTTATATGCAGAAGATATAAAGAAAGTGAGATTTATTCTTATTTTCAATATTTCAGACATAAAATTATATATACATATACCTATTTTTTTAATTAAAAAATGTCGTACCTACTTTTCATTCAACTCATTTTTAAAGTTATATTTTCTCACCATATAGTTGGACAAGCATAAGATAAATACAAAATATAATATATGCTGATGCAAACAGAATCAGAAAAGACTTGAGAAGAATGTAACACAGATTTTTCTGGCATACATATAGATGTACAAATAAAAAATTATGTACATAACAGCTATTATAATTATATATATATATACATATTAGGTGTTGGAATTAATTCGTAGCGTTTTTAATGAAAGAATGTTATTTATTTCACATGAGCATTAAAAAATACATTAATGAAAGTACTTCCCATCACTTGATCTTACCTATATAACTTAGCAGTACTGGCAAAAAGATGAGACCATGTGCTGCTCCAAATAGTACAATACCCAAATACATTCTGAAGTAAAACACCTGCAAATACCCTTAGCTGAGTAATTCTGAATATTTTTATACAATTAAATACAGACAAATAGCAGAACTCCAATTATCTATTATTAATCATGATTAATAAATTTGTGATTAATAATGTAAGTAGATATTTATATCCAAATATTTTTTAATAATAAAAACATTTTGAAAGGAAATAATAGATAAAAAATTGTGTGTGTGTGTGTGTGTGTATGTGTGTATACATACAGTTTAATATTTTAATTATTATTGCGATACTAAAAGCCGAGCATGTTTTTGATCGCTAATCGACAATTTAGATTATTAGATAATTGGTGTTTTATTTAACAGTATATAGTAAAAAAAAAATTAACCTGGAAAATTTGACTCTTTGCAAAGCCCAATACTATAATACCACCAAACTTTGTTAGTGTGATACCACTAAATACTGAACTCCCCATATTTGTCAATGCATCTGCGACTCTTTCAACTCTAGTTGCTTGAACTGACACGGAGAAGGAATGTACTAGATGACTGCAAAACTCGACAGCTATACCAACTGCCTGTAATACAAATTAGTAATGAATAATACATTTTTCAACAATTGTTATGTAATTTGAATGCTTTTTCTTATTTTTGTAGTATATTAATATATTAATATCAATATATTATAAAAATGTAATATATACTATGTAAAAACAGATATATATATATATATATATTTTTTTTTTTTAATTAAAAATATAAACATTTAAACAAATATCTTAATATAAAATGAATTTATGTAGATAAAATACAATTAAGTTTTTACTCTAATATTAACAAAAAAAAACATTCATGTTGTGAAAATTTATAATAATTCGCAAAAATATTTAAAATTGAAAAAAAAATTTATAATAAACATTTTATTGTTTCATTTCAATATGTTCCATATTAAATTTTTAAATATATAAAAAATGAAAAATGTCCAGATACTAACAATAAACAAATCCATGTATATATAATCAATATAAACTAAATATACTAATTTTACAATGATTAACTTACCATAACAAGATTTACTAGAGACACAGCATTCAAAGTTATGTGCCACCAATACATCAGACCACCAATATTAATGACAATCATTGTGATTGTAATTAGAACCACAAGTGATGAGAAGATATCTAAACCCATTAATAAGAAAGTAACCACAAATATAGCTAGCAATGAGATTCCTATACTCTGCAATGTGTCAGGCCACATAGTTAGATACTGCTCATAAAATACGTAGAAAAGTAGTGTTTTCATTATGCCCTTTCAAGTTATAGTTGAGCATGTTGGTTATGTTCGCCGCTACTACTCTGGCTGCTCTCATTGATTCAAAATAATCGGCTGAAGTCTTGAGGATAGTGTGATAAGCCATGAAATATGAAGCACCGACTGTTGACATTCCCGTTTTAGGATCAGTAATATAATTCACACCGTGTCCATAAGCTGCGTGACCTCCTTTAGCACATGTTTCATCGGGATTGTCTTGCAGAAAGAATGATACATATTTGTTGAAATCAATGGGCACTGGTCTGTTGTATTCATTCAAAGTAATATTGCAAGTAGAACATAGTCGATCTGTAAACCGAAAATACGTAAAATAATTGAATTAAAATAAATTCATTTATTATTATAAAAAAATATTTATACATGAAAGTATAATATACGCGATTATATCAATTATATAAAGAAAAGTATATACCAGTATGTGGACAGAATGAATTGTTCGTAGGAAAATATTTACAACAAGTGGATAATCCCGACCAATCGATATAATCATCCATCCAAGACGAAGCAGGCTTGGCTATATAAGTTCTAAAAAAAAAAAAAAATAAAAAAAAAATAAAAAATATTTCAACATCTAAAGACGAGTAAACATTAAAATAGATTTATTCATAAAACTTTCTATTTCGTGTTGTAATATACCTATTTGGTTGTTTAGATGCTGTAAATATTTGTGTCAATACTGAATCACTATTACAATATTGTCCACCACACACTAAGTTTTGCATTTTCGTATTTGAATAATTTAGGCCATCTTTGACGACGAAATACATTGGCGGCCCGATAGATAAGTAATTATTTAAAAACTGAAAAAAGCAAGAATTTCAATTTTTTAATAATTCGTATTTAGCTCAACGTTTATACTCTAATGGTTACAACATACTTTGAAATATTTAAGGACAAAACTATCTTCGGGCATAGAAAGTTCTTGATCAAGGCCGATTTCAATATGTGGTATTACGGCAATACTGCTACAGAGCCAACCGAAAAATACAATCATTACGATCGCGCGAACCCATTTTTGTAGTAACAGCGGGACGTATGCGACTTTGAAAATTTTATACAACATTCCATCTACTACTTCTTCTCCATCATCACGCTTAGAACGAATAAAGCAGCATACATCTAACCTGTTATTCTGAAATTATAAAAAGCATTTAATATGATCAAGAAAAAAAGAATATGTTTAGGGACGCTATTAGCATTATTTGCATCATTCTACTCTTGTTTTATATCTAACAAATGATAGAATGACAAATAGCGCTAATAGTAGACGTCTCTCTGTACGCATCTAACGTATAAAATAAACAAAAGAGAGAAGGAGAAAAGGGAAGAAAATAAAATAAATAATGAAAAGTAAGTCTCTATAAAGTTTTGTAGATAAAAATTTCGTATGAATTAAAATTCATTATATATATTAACATAAAATTCTTATACATACTGCATGTCGAATCGTATCAAGTGCTAAAAGACTGACGAAACATGTAATTTGTAATATGAAGTCCACTAATAATGCCATTCCGGCATAAAGAGCAAACGCTTTCACGGCAGGCATATCAGAAAGACCACCTGTAAACAAAAAAAGTCTTAATTGTAACAGTTTATTTGCAAACAATTTTTATTTTCTTTTTCATTAATTTTTTTTATTTCTTCCGCGTATATTATTTATGATATTTTCTGTTAACACATACCAAGGAAAAAACAACAGCTTTCCGATACACTTGTAAGTAACATACTAGGGCCAACTTGACCCAACGTACGGCCAATGTGTTCCGGGATTGATTCATTTGGACGTCTACCTTCCCTTTGATGAGTTTGAACGAGAATAAAGATATTATCTACTCCGACTGCTAATACTAAGAATGGAATGACCTCGATAATGATCAGTGTAGCTGGTATACCAATAAAGCCGAACAATCCAACTGAACAAATTACAGATGCTAGCACTATGAGTACACCTCCAAGTCCAAGAGTAATCTTAGAATCGTGCTAAAAAATAAATGGATTAAATGTACAATATTAAATAAGACGTAAAATTAAGATTAAGCATGTAATATAACATAAATTCTTACCAAAAGACGAGCACATGATCTAATTTGGCCAAGAGACACTGCAATATATCCAAACATAATAATGTATGATACTAGAATAGTCACAATGTCCGATTGAGATTCACGATTCAGTTCGTCTTCGATAGAACGCTCAGACGTGAACGCTATGTCCATAAATGCCGGTTTTTTTGTTGCCGTCCAATTTTTCATGAAGTTAATAAAGCTGAAATTGAACGATATATAATTAATATAATCTTATTTGAATACAGAGATAAAGAACTTTCGAATTATCGTATGAATTTACCTTTCTTCCCATTCCATAGCGGGTAATAATCTGGCTTTGTTGTGATAATTGTTTACAAGAAGAGTAAGGATTATGGCGGTTGCCTTTTCATATGATGGGTTATGAAGATCTTGTCCCGGAGACGAAAATCCACCCACTGCAATTGCTGGCTCAACCGGGCCGCCGTAAAGTGCGAGGCATTCAGGATTATATGCATTTCTGAGAAACAAAAATATATAAATATAATATAAATATGATTTAAAAAAGAATATTATTATACACATTTTCAACAAAAGTATTACTTTTTTCAAATATTTCAGATTTATTAATAGTTACGTTTCAACGATAATTCTTATCAATTTCTAATATATTCTTCAAATAATTGATTTTAAAAGTTTATCGTTAAAGCTTTTCATTTTTTCATATCATTGTAAAAAAATTTATCTAAAGTAGATCTTATCACTAAAATACAGTTTGTTTTTTTATATCAATATCAATTTTTTTGCAATATTAAACATAAATATCCCTTAGAATTTGTTTTTCATTTTTATTTCATAGTATATAATAGCACTTTCATATTTCATACATATATAACTACGTATGTCTCTACAATTCTTTAAATTTTACTTATGTTATTCTCATAAATATAACTAAGATAAACGTCCCAGTGACATGTATCTCTGTCCGGACACTTACACAAAATTTATTACAGAAAAAAAATTTATTATAAATTTATTTATTACATAGGTATATGTCCGGTCATTGGGACGTTTACCTTAAATGAATATAACATGATGTATGGTTTCGTAAGAGTAGTCAATATATTTCTAATCCTCATTACATGCATGTCTGCATCTCATTCAAGATTGATCGAAGAGTTAAGGATTGACAGTGAGAGAGTATAAGGATAAGTAACTTGTTTCGAAAATCCATATTTCAGAAAAAAAAACGGTTAAAATAAATATATAATATTACAATCTTCTTCATTTTTATTACTTACTGTGAGCAAACTCTAAAATGATCCAAATAGTTCACTGTATAATTCCCTTCTTCTTCTGAATTTTCAAACTTTTTTAAATCGTCTTGCCAGTAACCCCAAATACTTTGAATAGTACAATGCGAGACTGTTGTTGGACCGGTAAATGGTCCAGTTAAAGGAGCGAAACATATGTTCGCTAACGTGTAGTTGTTAGGAGTAACTATACTTTTAATACCTTCTTGCAATTCAAAGACTGTTTTTAGAAAAGTATCATTAAACACGGGACCAAATACAATTGGTCCGTTGGATGTGTTGTGTACAATCTGCAATTAACATCAAACATATATAACATAAAGAATTACAAAATATAATGAATCAAAGTTAATACACATATAATCTATTTCTACAAGGAACGATAAGAAACATATTACTATTTTTCTTAATAAATAACATTCTTTCATTAAAAACGCTACGAATTAATTCCAACACCTAATATATTAAAAATTTAATTTGTTCTATATATACAAAGATAAACTTAATATACTCTAATATATTTTAGTAATACATACATTCGGTAAGCCAACAGAAGTGATAATAATTTGTTCATTTCGATAAAAGGGTTCAAAATGTTTATCAAAATATTCCCTTTCAATGCGCGATCGAGAATGCGGAGATGCCCACAATTCCACAGGATCTGTAGTAACTTTCATGTATTTTATTCCATGTCCCAAGCCAACAATCAGTAGGAAGCCAAGGAAAAGTATTAACCAAGGTCGAGAAGCGCAAACTGTAAAAGAATATTAGTCATTGTAGGCAATGTGAAACATCTAATTTTATGTAAATTATATCATAAAATTTAAATTATATTACCTGTTCCCCATTTGCAGAAAAATTCTTGCAAAAATTTGTCAGTACCTGCTCCAAGTTTCTCAATGAAAGTGGACTGTTCTTGATCAAAGCCAGCTGGTAACTCATCGGAGGATATAACACCTATAAACAAATATTTATATTAAGTATAATAAATTTATAAATATTCGATTAAGCACCATTATGTAGCTTAAACAATCTTGAGTGCAAAAGTGCTGTAAATTATTAATATTCTATCATTTATAATTATTATATAATATTATAAATAGGCTATTAGCTTCCAGCTAGGATACAGAACATTACACTGTATGTTCCACTGTAAGATATTTGTTGGAATGTAGTTTAGTTTCACAGTGTAACACCAGAATGTATTGTAGTCTTTCATTCTTATTCTTATAATTATATTTAGCGCATCAATAATAGATTAATGATTTTAATTTAAACTTAAGTTATAAATCTTTCAGAATTGATTTTTGACGATTTTATTACAAAATAAGTATGGTCCCCACATACTTTTTGAAAAGTTAATAATATTAACATGTTTTATACGCTCATACTCTGCTTTTTACAGTGTCGAATAGTGTAACACTGTGTCACAGTTGAAATATTTTGTATAAGACAGTGTTATACTGTATCATCTGTGTATGTTGGAGAACATCCATAGTAATGTTACAAGTAACCAATTTGTATAAGAGTATAAAAACGTTTTATAAAAAAACTTAAATTCTAAAATTGAATAATTTTTTAACTTAAAAATAATAAAAACAATATTTTAACTTTAATTATAATTAATAATGTTGAAACCAACACATTACGTTACTTATTACAAAAAATAAAATTTTTTATACATGATATGCACTAAGTAGACTAAAAGATTTTAAGGGATGATCCTCACACAAATTCAAAAACCTCATGACTAATATGTCTAACATGACTTAGTTTCAAAGATATAGGATGTTAAAGTTGAAGAAAAAATTTTTTTTCTAAAAATTTCAAAAATCACTCGAATTATTTTGATAAAATTACTTTGCATAATATATATTCAAGTTATTTTGATGCTATTTATAATATAATATCATAAAAATAACTTGATGAATAATTTTCGAGATTTTTGAAAAAAATAAAATTTCTTGACACCTTGTTTTTTTGAAAACTAAGCACTTCTGATATATGGTTATATGAAATTTTGTCTTGAATTTGTGAGAAATCATCTTTTAATATCTTTTAACGTATTTAGTATACATTCTACATAGATATAGTTCTTTAACTGAAATTAACACAAAATTATAAGAAATCAAATTTTTTTAGATTACTAAAATTATTGATTTTGTTAACTTAAAAGAAAATAACGCTTGAAAAGTAATATAGAATATGTGATTTAGAATAAATATGATTAAATGTTAAGATATAAAAAAGTTCCCTTCAATATTAGATATTTCATTCCATAATATTCTAGATATGATAAATAAAACGACTTGTACATATCTTTTAAATTTTCATTATTTTTTAACTATTTTCATAAGTCAGATAAATTACCTATTTGAATGCAACATATTCTATATGAAGTAACACATAAAATTTAATTTTGCTTTTTTTCAAGATCATTCTTTAATGTTATTGATGGGAAATTCTTTCTTGATTAACTTTATAAACAGAACATTTTATTTTCTAATTAACTATTTAAAACCTAAAACATACACATAACATATTGTAACATGCAAAACAAAAAGTATTATAAAAAAAATATACAATTTAAAAACATAAGACAAAACATACGAAATATTTGCAACACGATTTTTGTGAGCAGAGAAATGATATTTGTAAACTACTTTTCCTATTTTTAAGAAATTTATATGCTTCTTTAGAAACTTGAAAATATTTTTTTATAACACTTATTCGTGAATATTGTATATAAATTATAAGATTATATAGCGTAATATATTATCGGAATACAACTCATCAAGTTCATGCTTTTTTTTATGTAATAGTAATTATATAAAATGCAAACTTTTCAAGCGTCAATCTTAAGCGTTAAAATTTTTAGTGCAATAGATAATTATCATAATTTGTCACGTATGCAGTATTGTATTGCAAGAGATATAAGTTATATATAGCTTAGTCAAGTGCTAAAACACTTGATAAATCCAAGTGCAAATAATTGTGAAAATAAGTGAAAAATTTGTCTAATGCGCATTTGACATCCTGGCAGGTACGATCTGCAAGGGCTGAAAATAAAGCGAAAGACACAAAAGCTGTAAAGCAATAAAAAAGCTATAACAGGAAAACAGCAATGACGAACACATCGTAGATAGTAAAGCTTTAGAATCGAAAAAACCTACTAGAACGCTTAGATTGAAGTGGACTGTCTTCTTGGTCAGCGGCGAGGGCAATACGAGCACCATCTCCTGGGTGGTGTAATCCGGCAGCTAGCCGTCTACCCACCTGTCTTCCTACCTCCTCTCCTCGTGCAACTATACATATGCACACACCATACATACACAACCTATAGTCTGTACTTATTTTGTATGACATAAGTATTATATGAAAATTATGTATGCTTCAAGTAGTTTATATGTTTCAAAGTCATAACAAAGTAAAAACTCGTTCCACACACGGAAAGTTATTTTAGTAATTCACACTTATTACAATCTAAATAATATCAAATAAAACTCCATTAGTTCATAAAATAACAAAAAGTTAGTGCAAATGTTAACACTAACACTTCTAAGAAAAAAATTAAAAAATGTGCAACAAATATTTCACGAGGTGAAGTGAATGACACGCATTCATCATAAAAATTTTTTTTTTGAAAACAATACTTAAATAATTAATACGTAATATCCTGCAAATTTTATAACTGTGTGAATATGGCTATCTTTATATTAATTTATAAATGTAACCATATTGGTAAATTGTCTTAATATTTCTCACAAAAATAATGTTTGTTTTTTAGTATATTTGTAAATAAAATATTAATATTTTAGCGTTATTTTTCAAAGCTTTAAATAAAATAAGTGCAAAAAAAGACCTCACAAAAACAAATAGTAGCAATAAAATATATCTAAGAATTATTAGATTAAATTTTAATCACATAATCAATTCTTATCTCCACCCTTATTTTCGCTTAGAGATGTTTAATAATAATAATAACACAAATTAATTACATTAGTCACTAACATATTCAATAAATTTTTAAAAATAATTATATGCAAAATATAATAAAAAAAAAATAGCTTTAATTGAAAAAACAATACATTTTCCATTTTCATAATTTGTTATGTTTAGTAACAATTTTATATATATGCATATTTTCATACATTAATATATAGGTATACATATATATGTATATAAAATATACATATTGATTTTTATTATCTAAAATATCTTCGTTTCTTTGAAGAATAAAATCAAATGTTCGATAAAATATTCAGTTCAAAAAGACATATTACAGCTGGGCTGCGTTCGGAAACATCATTCGAGTGCCCCCGTGTATCGTTTTATCCTTATTATTCACCCAATGTTAAATGATAATATGATACACGGGGATACCTGGGTGATGTTTCCGAACTCAGCCTTGACAGGAATCTCAAATATATTAAAGTTTAGTGCAACTATTTCGAGCATTTATTTATTACTAAGCATCTGTACTACTAAGTACAGTGAGTGTTATTTTCAAGCATATTGAATCATAAGTTGTTTATTGCTTTACTTATAGTAAGGTATTCTTCAGTGATAAAATCTTACAATATCTTTTATCTCTAAAAAAAATGTTAAAATTGATGTAAACACGTGAATTTTATGAGGTTATTTGAAAGTTATATCATTTAATATTTTATGTTGAATTTGTCAAATTGATTATAATACTGTGTAAAAACATATACCGTAAAAAAATATATAAATCTCAAAATCTAAAAAAAAAATATTTTGGGAAAAGTATTACCAACCAATAATATATATCAAACTGAATAATCATCTTTAGATTATTTCTTCTGTTTTTGAAAGTGTAATAGAAATATTTTAAATAATAAAAATTATGAATTCCTTTATATATACATACATTTAAAGAATATAATTTCGATATGCATAAATCGAATCAATTTCTTACCTATACGTTTCCTATGGCTGAAACACATCATTAACAGAAGGAAAAGGCAGGAACCACATACAAAAATAATTGTCATTATAACTTCGTAACCATCATAACCAAATATTGAAAATGGTGTTGGTAATGGAGGCATCGGTGGTGGTGTTGGACAACTTTGTTCACAATCTACACAGCTGCAAGCTGGTGTGTTTTTCTATAAAAAAAAAGTTAGACGTATAATAATCTTTTTAGTTCATTTCTTATTATGTTATTTTATTTGTGTGATAAAAATTATTTATAGACATATATAAATACTTTTTACATGATGACAGTGATCTGTCATAAATAAAATATTTGAATAGAATTTGAAGTTAATAAACATTAAAAAGGTATAAAATATACAATTTCAATTGTTCTAAACATTTATATAACTATATCTATATTATTTTAAAATTAAATTAAATTTTATAATTTAGTATCAATTATAAGATAAAAAAAAGCAAAAATATATAATTTTTTTCATTTAAAAATATCATTTATGATTTTAAAAACTTTAAACATGTCGAGAAAAATTTTTACTATTATATTAATTTTTTTAATTTAGATTTAATATTTTTTCATAACATAAAATGTAAAAAAAATCATTTTTAGATATTCAAATCTTGGATTCTATGATATATATGAAAGTTATATTATTTATGCTTACGTTTTATTATAAAATTTATTAAATGAAAGATGTATCCCATAGAAATAAAGTAAAAAAAAATTAAATAAAATAGTTTGTTTAACCTTAATGAATATTAGATATACATATATTAATATAATTGAAAACTTGTTTATTTTGACTACTTGACAGTTAAATTGCAGAATGATAAAAAGTATTAATATGCGTCCATCAGCAAAGATCCTAAATTAACATTCATAAATATTTTTTACATTATATAACTGATTGTGAAAACTTGTCTATCTTTTGATCGTTAAATCGTAGAATGATAAAAAATATAAACGTGCGTTAATAAAAATCTAATAACTCGCTTTTTGTTTTGTATCATTGTATGTTTGAACAATCTATTCTCTTTTTTCATAACTAATTCATTCATGACGTAAGACATAAAGTAACAATTTTTTAGAAAACTTATATTCACAATAAAAAGTGATTTATCAATATTTAGCAGATCCTTATAAATGAAAAACTCACAGCAAATGAATGCAGTTTGCTTATTTAAGTTTTTTATACTGTAAATGAACTATATAGATTTTAAAAAGTATTTTCGCATGTATTGTTGTAGATATATAATATCATATAAAAACATATACACATATACATATATAAATATATTGGGTCATCTAAAAAGTATCCGCGGTACTTTGTCACTAGATATATGACCATCAACACACATCTAGTGACAAAAAACCGCGGATAGATGACCCAATATTTTTAAATACATATACATTTTAAAAAATGTAATACTAACGTTCAATGCCTTGTTGCATGGTGTGATTGGAGGATCTAATGGCGTAAATGATCCGACAGGATTATCAGTATTTATATATGTAATTTGGAAAGGTACAAAAATATTATTCTCCGCATCACCCATAAAGTGAAACCATTTCAATGGAGTACATCTACTCGCTCCCCATTCTCCACACATTAGATCCAATGCTAACTGCCCTGTACTCGGCACTGACACCTTATTGCACGAGTTAAATGTTCCATCAAGATATTTGTTCGTTATATATATATTTATTTTGTTAACATATTCTACACCTGGAAAGAAATTCAAAATAATAAAATACGTATCAAAATGTTGCAACTATAAGATATTAAGTTTTAAACATTTTTTTTAATATATAAAGATAGAATATAATAATTACCATCTGCCACGTCTTTCTCCGTAATGTTGATAAATTTGCTTTGATTAATACCGCATGTGAAATCACAAAAATGCTTTGCTAAATTATCTAAGCAACTAGGACATCGTTTTAGGAAATTTGACGCAAGCTGGATATTTGAGTCTAATGTAGTAAGTTGCTTTGTATCACAACAAGTATTAATTCCTTTGCCCTCATCCACTAACAAATGTGGACAATGCTTAGCCAACAATTTCTGTCCTTCAGAATTTAATGGTTTTGCTGGTCCATCATAAATACAATTTTTTATGTGCATAGATGCATCCGTGTAACACTCTCCATACCATATACAATGACCATTTTCTTCACTGACAACCTGTTTGTAAATAATATGTTCAGACCTTCTTTAAATAATCTACTATTTTGTGAAAAGCAAAACAGCCGATAAAATTAGCTTTAATTCTTGTACATTGAAATATTTTTCTTATACATTACAGTTACATATATCTACTACCAATAATATATTACTATGAATATATTAGATAGTATTTTACAACGGATTAAAATATTGTTGTTTAATGTAAAGTTTCACAGACTGCGTTCACACGAAGCATATATAAAGATATATATATATAATATAATATATAAGGCATTTCCTAATTGAGTTCTTGACTTACGTATTAAAGTCTGATAAGATTTATTTGAGTCAATGAGCTGAATTAATGATTTAATTCACCTAATATAAAATACAATATTGAATGAAGAACTCCAACAAAGGAACGACGGTTTGTTTCTTACCTCTCAAAAGATATTCCTATACAATGATGTACATAACTAGTGAAAAATTAATTAAATACTATTAAAGTAAATTTAAAATTAATTTGAGATAATCAAATAATATTATCAACAATATTATCAACAATATTATTTAATTATCTCAAATTAATTTAAAATTTACACTAATAGTATATTTAATTAATTTTCTTTAATAAATAAGACATTAATTAAGAGAGAAAGAATGTGATACTACTTTTAATAAAAACAAAATTAACTAAATATTTCACATATGCACACACACACACACACATGCACGACGCACGCACGCACAAAGTAGTTATTTACAATAAAATTTAAATTAATTAATAAACATAATAAAAAAAATTTTTTAAATTAGAGATTGTAATTTTTCAAATAGATAAAAATTAAGTGCACATAATGATATTTGTATAAAAATAAATATGTATTTATAAATAACATTTTTAAACATTTATTAAACACAGAAATTATTAAAAATTCTCAAATTTACAAATATTTCTTAAAATGTCGTTTATCTTATTAACTTAATAATTTTTTGCTTTTGTATTTTAAATCAAAAAAAGAAAATATGTAAAAAAATATATTTTAAAAACTCAGTAAAATTACTAACTTTAGTTTTCAAGAAAAATTGTGTGTATAATTATATTTACTTTATATAGAATTAATGATTCGCTTGATTTAGAAATTTAAATTATGAAATTTAAATTAATATCTCGGTAGTCTAAAGATTAAGGTGCTCGCACGGAATGTAAGAGATCCGGGTTCAACTCTCGGCCGAGACAATATTTTTCGCAATAAGTTTATTACTTAAGTATTTTAAGATTAATTTAGAAAATTTGGGGGGGGGGGATTATTAACATTTCAGATTGATTGCGTTGGAAGTCAACCATATCGACACGCAATTATCATATTCATTACACGAAATTAATTCATTTATATGAATATATATAATAATTCAACATCTTAACAGACCGTAGTGGCGCTTCCTATTCAAAGTAAAATAAACTTAAATTATTTTAATATTTATTAGATTTACTATTTAAATCCCAGGAAAAATATTTATTTTCTTTTATTATATTGTTTTAGATTTTATTTAAAACAAATATTTATTTAACTATGAAACTAATAAAAAAAAAGAAAAGAAATGAAAGAGATAATACTGGTTATGCATGAGAGTGTAAAATAGTGCACTTGTTCATTACACGAGAAACGATGTTCGGTATCAGTTCTTCGCATGAGTCATTCGTTTATAAGAAGTTATGTCACGCAATGGATTTTATACTTTGAATTATACCCTGCATAAGCCGACAGAATATTTTTTAACTGTCTATAAGTGATTCGATGAAACTTACAAAAAAATTACGTGATTTATAATCTTATCGATTTTAATAACGTAGTAAAAAAATTGCGTTCACAGTTTAATTCGCATATTTTATGTTAAGATAATTTGACTTGCATAATGTATACGCATAGAAAAATTAATAACACACTTAATATGACGTAATGATATAATATTTGTTATATTTAGAATTAAAAATTACTGAAAAAAACTTGAAAGACTTTGAGTAAAAAAAACCCGGAGTAAAATCAGTTTTTACTCCGATTATAAAAATTTTTTTACTTTCGAATATACATTTTCTTTGAATATTTAACTCTACATTATTGTTCTAGATGTGAAAACAAGTTTTTGCATTCATCTAAAAGATTTTTTATTCTGATAAAGATTATAAATCAAACTGCAGAACAATGGCAATAGCCACAAACATGCAATTAAATCCAGTTTCGAAAAGGTAATCGATTTATTGAACTTCACAACAACGCAAAAATGTTGACATAAAATTATAAAGACACAAAATGATAAATATATTGAAATAACATCGATATTAAGTATTTTAATGAGATATCTCAAGAAAAATGAATTTTACTTTTTTCAAGATTTTGATATTTTTTTCAAAGACTAGTATTTTACTCGGGTTTTCACTCCGAAGAAAAAAAATCTGTTTTTCTTATCTTTATTACATAATTTTACATGCATTTCATCAATAATTTCATACATGCAATTACACAAATCTCTAAATAAGTCTAGTCTTAAGTGTACTAGTCTGATGTAAGAACTGAGAAGGAATCTCATTTAAGTGGAATACTAGTATTAACAACAGCCTTGTTTCTAATCACACTTTAGCTCTTTCCTGTCGTAATGCGAATTCAGACGGCCGCTAAGAAATCAGGATAACTCAATATGAGAATAATTTCTCCGTAGGTCTATACATAATATATTTATTGATATATGTATAATATTTATCTATAATAAATTTGTGTTTATGGTGCAAAGATTAACAAGTGGACATGTTCCTCTCTTTAATAAATTTCTAAGATCGCTTTAGAAGATAGCTTTAAAACTAAAATTCGTGAAATTCTGATTTTTTTTAATAATAAAAAAAGGAAAATAATTAAATCTAAAATCTGTAAGCTCTTAAAAAGTGTAAAACTGAAAAAATTAAAACTCTTTCTCTCCCTCTCTCGTTGCGAGATACAAAAAATAACAAATAAAAAAATTTTATTAAATTAAGTCTGCTCTTTCCTATATTAGTATAATTATAGGCACGATTTTATGAATTTTGTTAATTCATTAAATATCTATAAACTGAATATATTTATACTTTTTACTTTTTCCTCAATAATTTCAAAGCATATATTTTTAGTTTTTATATTATCTTTACATATTATTAGTTTAGGTCCGATTCTTTATCAATGATAAATTAACTTTAATCTCGATTCTCAATTTACTCAAGTCTACTGTTTATCTTTTTTTATACCGTTTATCTTTTTTTATACTTGCCTGTTTCCAGAAATTTTCCACGTCAAATCGGACATCTTTGAAATATTGTCATTTTTAATTTTTGTTTAATTTACTGATATATTCTAGATAAAAATACCAGATACATGTTTCGCAAAAAAAAAAAAATTTGAGATTCTTTTGTGAAGTTATTCACGCTTGTAAGTTGCAGAAATTCATAAAAAATGTTTATGCAATCGAACATTCAAATTATTATATCGTCGAAACCTTTAATCGTACAAAAAAAATGCAAAGATTTTAAAGATCTTAAATTGACATCTATTATGAGCTGGCACACTTCAGTACAATCGAATGCAACCTACCATATTTTTTGCTAATTACTTGCTCTTTTCCCGACTTTTTTGTTCCAGCCAATTCACTGTCAGTGAAGTACACTTATGGCCGTGCTAGTTTAAGACTAAAATTAGCACAGTCATAAAGAAAACAAGCTGCAAATGAAAAATCAAATACATTTTGTAGGGTTATTTTTTCATATACATGCGAAACTGCGCCGTCACACAATAGAATTTTTTAACTATACATTTCATTTGAATTCCATTTTGCAATTTTGAAGTTATTTCGTAATTGAAATGGAAATATATTTTTTACAAAATTTTTTAATTGGTGAATTGATGATGAAAAATAGTAATTAAATTTAACAAATGGAAAATGATTTATTTATTAGGTGTTGGAATTAATTCGTAGCGTTTTTTAATGAAAGAATGTTATTTATTTCACATGAGCATTAAAAAATACATTAATGAAAGTACTTCCCATCACTTGTAAAACGCTACGAATTAATTCCAACACCTAATATATGAAAATAATAAATTACAAATAATCCATTCATATAACAATTTAAGATCTTTAAAATTAGTCTCTCACATTTTTTTGTATGATTAATGGTTTCGATAATATATTAATTTGAATATTCGCATAAATGCATTTTTTATGAATTTCTGCAACTACATTGTAAATCAAATATTCAGTACAACCGAGTATTATATTTTAAACAAGGAGGTATAATTTAAAAAAACATAATTGTTAACATAATTTTCTAAAAATAATTTAATAAATTTCTATAAGAATTAATTAAAGCAATTAAAATAAAAAAAATTGTGCTAAGAAGGGCTACAAACTAAATAAACAAATTTTAATGTACATAATATGACATTACACAGTTGACATTAAATAAAACAAAAGTAAAAACAAAAATAAAAATAAAACTTAAAAATTAAAATTTGTGGAATTTTGATTTTATAAAAAGAAAGGAAAAAAAGAGAGTAAAAAGTTTAAAAATTATGAATGTAAAAAATATTAAAACTGAAAAGATGAGAACATTCTCTTTTTCTTTCATTTAAAAATACAGGCAACACTATATAGAAAAAAATAAGTCTTAAATATTTTTTACACTTTTTTTAAAGCATCGGCATGGTTCTCTCTAAATTAATTTCATTAATTCGTTAAATTTCTATGGACTCATTATATTTATTTTGTACTCTCTCTTTATTTTTCAAAACATATTTTTATATACGTGTATACACATGTACAGCCATCTTACATTCTAAAAAAGAAAAGCTAAAGTTGAAAGGGACATAGTTGTTGAATGATGTAGAGATGCTATGTATGTCGCAACATATAAATCGTTCTTTGTCCGATAGTAAGTGGTTAACTATCACTAATGTCATTAAGCACTTAGTCTAGTCTTTCTTACAAACAACTAATCACATCGACTGTCTTCTTTTATTCGCATATCAGCGATGGGAATCCGAAAAGGAAAGAGAGATGGATTAATATTACAAGAAGATAAAGCTTTTAGAATATTTCTCTTGTCAGCAGAATAATATATCAACAGGATTTCTCTTTCGAGGACGTGATAGTTTCGAAAGCGAGTAAGTTAATTCTGAGTAGAAATCTGTTCAAAAACATCTTCCCGACCTCGACCACAAACACGAAAAACATTAATGCGTGTTTATTCAGAATGGCAAGTTTTTCTCGGATGGCGGTCAGAGGGAATAAATTTAATTGAACGAACTCCTTGGAGACGGGAAAAGCAGCTATAGGCTTTCTCAGCGATCAGCCGAGATGACGTCACGCGACGCGTAAGCGCCGTCGATTCTACTTTGTTAGGGTGTGGACAGTGTATAGACAGGTATGAAAAGATGTATTTTATACGGTAATGTATATACGATATGTGGAAGTATATGTGCGCGCGCGCGTGTGTGTGTGTGTGTGTGTGTGTGTGTGCTCGCGTTCTCACAAGCGCGAGAGCTCGGAGAGACGAAGCGACGAGCGTTGAAATGACGCACGCGCGACACGCGTGCAACACGAGCGTCGTAGAAAGAATGTAGCGTATATATACTTGAGACCGTTGTCCTTATATGCAGGATGCGTTACTTACCAGGCTCGACAAGCTGGACAAAGTCAACAGCAATAATAAGGGCCGAAGAACGTTACGTGTTATGGCTGCGCCTATGAAATTTTGATGAGCGGCCGTGCCTGCAGTTGCAGTCGTTACTCTAGCCCAGTGCATGGCGTTAATACGTTTTACCGTCCGCTGAATTCGCTTTTCCCTGCTATCAGGCGCAATGCACTTAACCTCGCTCAAGCTCGATTCGATGCATACATGTGTCGCGATGCGATCATTGTACGCGAGGCATTTCCTTCGGCAATGTTCGTCGCGTAAGACGTCTCCTCGACGGCTCGACTCTTGTAATGGTTTATAAGCCACACGAATTATTACAATCAACCTCACCGCTTGACAACCGTCGACTGCTGCTAGTTTAGTAGCGCCAGTAGTGCCAGTACTCGTCGTAGGCCGTCGTGCGATGCTTGACTTGGTTCGATTTAGTTCGACTGTCGTCGATCGCCGCCGTCGTGAGCGCCACCCAGCGACGCTCGGCTGTTATTAATCCGATGACCGCCACGTCTCAAATCGATATAAATCACGCGCATAACTGCGTATCTTGTTACTTCTCAACACTTTCAATGTGTTCAGATAAGACCTCCAGAGTATGTATTATGGAATTATTCAAAATGGATTCCGATGCGGAATTATTCAATTATTCTCTGAATTTCTATTTGTTTTCTAAGAAAGACGAAATAATTCCGAATAATTCCATAGTACATTCCTTCTAGACTTGATATTCCGATAAGCAAATGTGAAAGCATATTACACAATAGCATATCATGAACTGATGATAATTTTAGAATAATTACACTTGTACGATAATTTGGTACACACAGCAGTTTTGTTAGAATAAAATTTCTAAATGATATTTATCAAAAATTAGATAAATCTAATTTGAGATATTCTTTTTATTTATTTTCTTTCAAGAATATGATTGAGACGTCAACAGCGTATTGAAGAAACAAATCAAGTCACGTTATCCGATTATTTTTCAATGTTCGACAAACATTTCCGGAAGATTAAATCATATACATTTAATTTGACTTAAAAATTTTAAGTTAAATTGGATTGAATATATAATTAATATTTCATGTTGCAATATTTCTACATTATTTAAGAATAATTTTGCATTTTGGGACACAATTATTTTTAAAATACATAATTTTTAAAATTCAAATAATAAAGTTGAAATATTTTTCTCAATTATTGGATAATTTCTTTCCAAACATAACTTGATATATAAAATGATATGATTTGCTATATTGTTATTGTTTTGACGAATGACTATGTCAAAATTAATTGAACAGTTATCAATATTTTTTAAAAATCAAAGCTTCTATTTCTGTAAATATTATATAATATCTGTGTAATTTCAGATTACATATTTTTAAACAAGATTTTGTTATATAATTTAATAAATGTTATTCCAGTGGGATAGATATACAAACATCGCACAAGAAGCAAGCAATAATAATGTTCACAATCTGATGTTTCGAGAAGTGTTCATATAGATTCATCACATGCTGATCGGTTACCTTGAGTCTTCGGCACAATGCCAAATTCCACGGCTACACGAGTCCGGCTCGCTCAGCAATAACATAAGCTATATTATTAGTACAATAAAAAATATACAAATTGAAACTATAGGAAACTCAATTATAATTAAAGCTTTTTGAAAATCTTGCTAATATTAATAAAATTTCTTTTTAAAATTAATTTTATCCCTCATTCATATCAAGATTGTTTCTACTTTGAGACAAGTATTGCTCACGTAATAATATGTGACAAAGGAAGAAATTCTCTTTTTTCTTCAAAGTGAAAAATAAAAAGATTAATAGAAATGTACATCAAATAATAAGCAATGCTTTCTTGAAAACTATAAAGGTTTTATCTATATTTTTTCTTATCTGTCCACTTCACAGTTTCCGCCGAACAATGAACAATTATATATATAAGTGAATCATTATTTGTTTTTAGAAATGAAATATGTTAAAACGAATTTCAAATCTGATATGTAAGTGCTACATAATCTATGAGACTTTTAGCAACTTTCTATGACTTTTAAAAGTTGTTGAAAGTTGCTAAAAGAAATAAAAGAGAATAAATAGTAAATTTTAAATTTGCTTTTTAATCTAAAAAGATTGATCATTCATAGAAACGCTTACTTACTTAAATACGAGGTTATCTGTACATCCGTTAGAGATAAATTTTCTTAAATATAAGATTATTCAGTATATCTCCGTTATAGATAAATTTCTTAAATTTAACATTATCTGTTATGACTTAAGAGACGAAAAAATTTTGATTATATGAAAAAAAACTGATTCGACATATAAAATAATATTTTTTATATGAATTTATTTTTTATATTTCTGAAAAATTAAATTTGAAAATAGGAAAATTAATATATTGGTAATAAAAGTGTATATATTAAGCTCGTAAATTAAAAAAAAAAAGTTTTAGATAAATAAATTCTTGTTTCTAAAAAGGAACTTGTTATTATATAATTTTGATTTTTAATTTGTTATATAAAAGTATAATAATAATTTATTTTATAATAATATAGGCTGGATAATGTGAATCATCTCGTACATATGTATATAACGTATAATCGTGTTGGTAAAATATTCTTGAATCATAAACAATAAACGTTTCGTAGAATTGAATCATGAAGTAGGAATGCGTCGACCGTAATAAATCAATGTCTAAAGTACAGCTAGGGAAAGGTATTAAATTGTTTCATTAAAATATTGTATTTGAACTACTATCATATTATATAAATAGAATTATAAACAAAAGGGAGGGATTGTTGAGAAAACACTTCAAATAAAGTTAAAATTTGCAAAGTAAATAAGAATTTATATTACTTTAGAAATTTTGAGATAAATTAAGTTTATAAAAGATTAATCTAAAATAATCTAAAATAATCTAAGAACTTTAAGCTATTTCAAGATTAACTTTAAAATAATTTTAGAAAATTCAAAAGTTTTATTATTTTCATTTGCATCTCTGAAATTTTTAAGTAAAAGGCAGTACGCGGCATCATTACCAAATGGAATCGCGGTATTACTGTATTTTCTCGTAAATAAAATTTACAAGATCTATACAAGATAAAATAAAAAGCATAATAAGTAACTATGAAGATTTCCATTTACATTCTAATAAAATAATTTTGTTAAAACAAGCTTACTTTCACAATTTTTAAGTTCCTCTTAAATATAAATTTTAAGATTACTTTAAACCAAAAAAAATTGAAAATGTCCAAATATACCTTTCATATTTCTTAAGAATATTCTTAGGAATAGGTTTTCTCTTAAATTTACTCTTTCTCTAATTTTTCAGATTTTTTCAAATAAATTTTTTCTAAAGGATTTGTTCCTTGTAACTAGACTAGTGTATATATTTATTTACTTATTGTAAATGAAATAGATATACTTGAAGTTTGGCGAGATAGAAAATAGTACAATTCGACGTACAACGATAATTAAGAGGCATGAGATAGAAAATAGTACAATTCGACGTACAACGATTACCTCATATACATATTTTTTTAGTACCTCATATACATATTCATAGAATTTAAATGCTGATGGTAAATGCTTTATGTTATTAAAGATTTTTTAAAATACTATATGACAATTGTTAAATCAAATTATCTAAAATAGCTTATAACATTATAAAGTATAATATGAAAATGCTAAATATTTTCATATCGATTTATATACGACTACGATCTAAGTATAGGATAAGAAAAAGTATAAATATACCGCGCACTCATGAATTTTATCTCTTTTCAAGAAATACATAATTTAAATGCTCATGAAAAAAATAATAGGCATATCAATGCGACTATTATACGCTAATGCCAGATCAAGGCTGGCAGAATGATTCAGAAATTTGGAAAAAAGTCAATAAAAATGACATATAAAAAGTTTACATATGTTATACAAAAGATTATACTTCCCAAACAACACAAAGTCTAAAATATTATGACATAAGATGCAAAACGCACGTTGTCTTTTAGACGCAAAAAAGTCTTATGACGCGATTTCAGACTCTTTTTGTTGTCTGAATTATAACTTTTGTTTATATATTAGGTGTAGTAAAAAGAAATCCATTATTTTTGCATTAAATGGCTTTAGTAATCTGTATCTCGTCTACGCGTGATACAGATTACTAAAGCCATCTCTATGGATTTCTTTTTACTACACCTAATATAAAAAGTACTTTACTTATAATGATAGATATAGTTCATATAAAAAGTATTTTACTTATAATAATAGATAGAGTTCATGTAAATATAATATATTACGATGAATGAGAAGATATCAAATATTATAAAGAATTCATTTAATAAAATGATTTAAAGAGATGAACGCGATATGCGGTTACAACAACACAACATATCGCTTAATTTCATCACTTGAAAAAAAAAATGTATCAAGAATAGAAAGAATATTATATGGAAGAATATACTTTACTTGCTTTATTAAGTTACCTATTATGAAAATATTAATGAAAATATTAACTAATAAAGATTCACTCAAATATAATTATTTGTTAAAATTTTATATTTATTATATATTTATATATAACAATTTATATATTATAATTAATTATGCGTATGTGTGGTGAGGAAAATTCATTTATTTCAACATATAATGCAAGAAGGAAAAATTTACATAATTTTCTTCTGGTAATAATTCAATATGACTAAGGGACAGAAATTTAAGGGTCTCTTTCACCAATTTCTAATTAAATTAATCGACAATCAATTTGTAGAAGTGCCAACATCAATTAAATTATTTAATGTATGAGAATGTCTTCTCTCTCTTTTTCTTATAAAATAAACTGTGTTTAGAGCTCACGTACGTTGGCAATCATAATAATTGAGTTAACTATCGATTAGCGTTAATCTGAATTGAAAGAGATCCTTTTAGAAAGCTAAATTAGTATGTAAATAGTACGAATAAGAATACCGTTCACAATTAGAATCAATGTATCTATATAACAAACACATTTTCATTATTTTATAAAATTTATTTATAAAATAAATTTTACAAAATATATATATATTATAAATCTCTAATCGTATAAATATTTGAAGTTTGAAATACTTTGTTAAAGTTTAAAAAATGCAGCTTCAAAGAAAAAATCAAAACATAATTAAGTTATTTTAAGTAACATATAACAAAATTAAAAAGATTTTCTCTAATTAGCTATTTTCGGGAATAATATTCTTTCTGTATACTCATTATACTTATTAAGCTTTTTAAATATTTTTGCTGCTACGACATTTTTTTAGTTGCACGTGTATCTATACTTGGCAGTTTAGAGAATTTGATACGGTGAGTATTGATTTCTCACTACTTTTACAAATTTGTATTGATGATTTTTGCTGTCTTTAATATTTTTAAAATTTTTTATCAAAAATATAATGCATAGCTTTTTTTCGAGTAGAATTAAACATTGTATTTAAAGCTATTTTTCAAATTACGTTCTACATTGAAGTTTTTAATATTTATTTGTTCGTAAAAATATTGTTCAAATAAATCTGTGCACTTCAATTCTAAATTTTATTAACAGCGTAAATACAT